CTACTAGAGTATTTGGTGTTTCTTGTGTTATTGAAACCGTTGTTGCTGAGGCCCACGTGGCCGGGCTTCAATACTTCGCCGCCGACCTCACCAGAATGCGTGGGAAAGGCGCCTACAGCACTGCCGTACTGTCCTTCCCCACTGGCATAGGCACAAGCATTTGAGGGGGCCGAACTGCGGAAACCTTTTGAGGCCTGATTATTCATCGGATAACCCGTGGCGGTGGGATCGCAGGCGCCAGGGGGACAACGTCCTTCGACAAAATCCATCGACATGTTTCCACTGGATGCGGTATTGGTGGAGTAAACAGAGCGCACGTCACTGACTCCTTTGTCCCACCCAGATATGCACGAGGGGGTGGAGAGGCTTCCATTGGCAACACTCTGAGAATAGGCGATGGGTACCGGTAAGTCGTTAACTTCGCGTTTCAACGGCGTGTATGGAAGGTCAACAGAACGAGTGGAGATTGGAGAAGGCAGGCTTTGCTCGTAATGCACAGTTGACGAGGAGGAGAAACCGGGATTGGTAAAACGAGAACTGGTGTAAGAGCCACCGCCGTTGCCGCCACCACCACCAACTGTTGTGAACGTTTTACCGTTCTGATTGGTCAGTACGGATGGCGAAGTCTTGGAGAAGCTAAGGAGGTTGTGTGCAGCGGGTAGGCTGCCTATGTGTGATGTCGCAGCTGTGTCACAGGGTGCTTCATTCATCCACTGCGGCGATGACATCTGAGAGAGGGGCGACCAGGTTGGATAGTCAGAAGGATGGCGGGAGCGCATTTGAACCCGATCTGAATGACAGTCGGCAGTCACGGGGTCGCGTTTGAAGAAAGGCACCTGTGTGGGAGGCGGAGAGGGGGAAAAGGAGTTCTGCGATGCCCGGTTGATGAGGGAGTGTTGCGAAAAGCTGTTGTGGTTATTTGCCACCGACGACATCATCGGGATACTTGCGGATTTGCGTCCGCTGGAAAGGTACTGAGACTGCTAATGGCCTTGTGGTTTGTCGTGTAGAAGAAGGGGGCAAGACAAGAGCTGAATGTTGTGCCTGGAAAAAAAATAAGAAGGGA